ATTTCCGTTTTGCTAATAGTTAAGTAATTTAATTTGGTTAATATCTCAACATTCGAAATTAATGACAGTGATTTCGTTTGATTTTCTGTAAATTTCCTGTTAAAATTTATCATTACTAACTTACACCTTCTCCGTGGGATCAATATTTGGAGTTTGAATAGAAAGTTCATTATTACTTGATAACGATATATATGCTTGCGTAGAATCAAATTATTAATTGCCTATAACTATATATATTTTACACAACTTACTTTTCATATAAGGATCAAGTTTTTAGCGCTCTAGTGTTGTCAACTTCATAAATCCTTACATATAAAAATCGGGATCAGATCACTCTCTCCACCTTCTATGCGGTGGTTCCTATTCATGTGGTGGTTTCTGAAGTTTGGCTTTGCCTACGTTATGACATTCTCTATCTTATTATGTTATGGTTTTTTATTTTCAAAATGCATATGTGCAATGCCTTTCGGTTGAAGTTGAGTTTCGGGATTTGGTTTTCTCCGCTCTGTTTGAAATTCCATATGCAATGACTTTGGAATATGGGGGTTGATTTTGGATTTTGGTATTCTCTGCTTTTTTCTTGTGTGGTTTGTGAGCTTTGCTCAAAACAGACCCTATGTCTTGCACTTTCATTCTTCATTTTGGGATATTTACATACTTAACATCCATAGTAGTGGCGATTTTGATCTGGCTTTGCACTTTATACTGATGTGTGAAAGTGATGGCAACGATGTTGTGGAGGTGTTGGTGTGTTGAGTTGTTTATATGTGGAGGTGGTGGTAGTGGTGTTGCCTGTAGAGGTGTTGGTGTGTGGATGTGTTTGTGTGTGGATGTGGAGGTGGAGGTGTTGGTGTGTGGATGTGTTTGTGTGTCGATGTGGAGGTGGAGGTGTTGGTGTGTGGTTGTGTTTGTGTTGGTTGATGTATTGGGGGATGTGTGGAGGAGGTGGTGTGTGGACATGGTGGTAGTGGTGGTTTGTGTGGAGGTGTTGGTGTGTGGAGGTGGTGGTAGTTGTGTTGTGGATCTGTTGGTGTCGTGGATCTGTTGGAGCGTGGAGGTGATGATAATAATGTTCTGCACTTGATATTGCTTTCAAGTATGGAATGTACTATTATGAACAGTTCTTTTGAAAACAACATCACAATACAATTGTAGAAATGTCATTTGTCAAGAAACAGCTGCAACACAGTTTCTTTCAAACCGCAAAAAAAAAAACAGACAGCCAGCTTCCTGCCACTACTGTTACATAACAACTTATTAATAAGCTGCATCTGCCCCAAATAGACCCTAAATTTAAGGTAGCACTGAAACAGATTGAGCTTCACTTGATGGATGGCTCAAGGTCAAAATTCAATACTCCAGCAAGTCTAATTTGAGGCGGACAACCGTAACTCGGCTCAAAAAGATCTGAACCAACTTATTTAAAAATTTGCATATAATTTATGATAAAAAATTACTTAAATTTAAGCCAATAATCGCTTTGTTTTACAAAATCTATAAATCCGATCTTTTCTTGTTTCGCTCTTAACCATGCACTGCTGATTTACGAATTATTACTCTCCCTATTTTATGAGGAAAAAAAAAAGAAAAAAAAAACGTTGATTCATGAGCAATTAAACTCGAACAAGTCTTATTAATTTATATTAATAAGGCAAAAAAGTTTGCATTATCAAATTTATAACAAAATTATCTTAATCAAATAGTTTGAACGAAAGATTTCTACAGAGATAAAATACTTGATATTCTTAAATTAAGAACTAATTGCGTCTATTATGAGTTCAAAATAAAGTTTACGGAACCAAATTCCATCAATCTACAGTTCAAACTTTGTTTTTAACATAAGCAATTAAGTGATGGATCACTTTCCACAAACATGATAATACATCATTGAAAACAGCATAGATACCTCAAAATCCAAAAAGCAACAGGTATGGAATATAACATCAAATTTCTTGACAATCAAGCAATCCTATTTTTTAGTGATTCATCTATATATATATATACTTGGTCTACTGCCAATTGACTTGATGCGGAAGCTACTTATGGTGAATTGCAATATCTATTTTTCTATGCTGTTGTATCTTTACTACAAAAACTTGCTTTCGGGTTTGACTGATCCGGAGAAGGCTATATGCTTCAATTTTCACTTGGATTCCCCTCTTCCTTCAACTTATAAGTTTATCATTTTTGGTTTTGAAATACATGTAACTATTTTGACGAGTTTTGGGTAGACATGTATTTATTTTGGTAGTACCCCTTTGGGTTTCTTTTTGAGGGTTCTTATCTTTCATGTAACTTGTACTCCCCTTTTAGATTAATACAATTGCCTACGCGCTTTCAAATATATATATATATAATATATATATATATATATATATATATATCATCAAAAAAAAATTATTCTCTAACACAAATATCAATTATAGTTTAAATAATAAATTTTGAAAATTCAAATTCAAAATCATCCAGGGCTTCGAATTCAACAAGTTTATGGTCAAATTGAACACTCGACAAGACAAACTAGTGAATACCAAAATTGGTTTGATTCAAAGTCAAGCAATTCTGGATTAAGCCATTAAAACACATTTGAATGCTTCAGGACATTAATTGAATGATCAAATGAACTACAGGACATATCTATAGTCAAATCGAGCATCTCGAAGAGTTGAATCCAATGAGCCGAAAGTTCTTTCATTTTGATGTAATAAAACCCTCAAATCATCAAACAAAACCCTTTAAAATCAAAATGGATCAATATGTGTTGTTCGATCAGGTGATTGGGGAGGTTATTCCCTAAAAGAGCAAAATGACCCTTTAGGGGTTATAAATAGACCTCATCTTTTGACTTTGAGAGGGGAGGATAATGAGTCGAATTGTAGTGTTGTTCTGAACCGAAGGCCCAGTGATAACTTCTAGCATCGGTAGTCATCAGCCACCGCTCTCTGGCCACCGTCCACCACCCTCTACTTGTTATCGTTCACAAACTTTATTTGCATACGAAGTATCACAAATACGGTGTAATGAAGTATCCCGAATAAGGTGTAGCGAAGTATTCTGTCTACGGTATAAAGAAATATCCCGAATATATTATAATGAATAACACTCTATTGAAGATCTAGTGATAAATTTTGACGACAACTACTTACGACCACTATATTCAGAATATGGAAAATTTCTTCAGACTCCTGAAATTTTCTATACATTGTATTCTGACAATTGTTGTCTCTGACGTAAGATAACAAACCCAAGAGAAGGGTTGCAGCCACCAACAGGTAACTACAACATATATGGCCGATTACTACCATAGCTTCCCACTACGACCTCTATGGTCAGTTACTATTACAACATAACACTACGACCTCTATGGCCAACAGGCACACTTGTAGCTACCAACGACAGCCTATGTGGCCAGTTACTACTAATGCTTCCCATTACAGCCTATATGGGCAACTGCTCTTTTGCAGCTACTTATTACAACCTCTACAGCTTGTTACTATTTCATCTTCATACTACAACATCTATAACTAAATGACACTATTGCAGCTGACCTATGTGGTCAGTTACAACTACAACTTTCCATTATGAATTCTGGCAAACTAGCGCTTTTGTTGCTACTAAGTATGACCTATGTGGCCCATTATTACTGCATGTTCCCACTACGGCTTCTGTGGCCAAGTAACGATTTTGCAACTATCAATTATAACTTATGTTGTATGTTACTACTGCAGCTTCCCACTAAGGCCTTTGTGTCCACTTGACACTCTGGAAACTACCAATTATGGCCTGTAAGCAAGTTACTACTGCGGGTTCACATTATAAACTCTGTGTACAACTACTTATCTTACAACTACAAAATATGATTTATGTGGTTAGTTACTATTGCAGCTTCTTACTACAGTTTCTATGGACAACATACGCTATTGCAGCTACCAACTACTAGTGAACTACTACTGCAACTACTAACCATGACTTATGTGATTAACTACGACCTATGTAGTTATCTGCTAATAAGCTTCTAATGTAACTTCCAATTACAACTTATGTGAGTAACTGTTATTAAAGCTACTAAACAAGACTATGAGATCAATTACAACCTATGTAGCTAACAATTACTACAACTTCTAACTATCGACTTTGTGACCAATTGATGTTACCATAGCTACCATATATGACTTTTATGACTAACTACGACCGATATAGCTAACTGCTAGTTTAACTTCCAACTACAGTATATGTGACAAATAACAACTTATGTGACTAACTATGACCTATATAGCTAACTGTTACTGCAGCTTTCAACTACACATGTGACCAACTATGACTTGTGTGGCTAATTGCTACTGTTGCTACTAACCCAGACCTATGTGACCAACTACGACCTATATAGCTAACTACTACTGTAGCTTCCAATTATAGCATCTGTGACCAACTGATGTTAAAAAAACTACCAATTACGGCCTATATGATGAACTATGTCCGATATAGCTAATTGTTATTACAACTTCTAACTATAACCTATATGACAACTATGACCTATGTGACTAACGACTACTGTAGCTAGAAACCACGACTTATGTGGCATACTATAGCTTATATAGCTAAATGCTATCATAGCTTCTAAGTATGGCTTTTGTCGCCAATTAATGCTTCTTCAATTATCAAGTATGGCATATGTGGCCAACTTCAACTCATATAGCTAACTGTTATTGCAACTTCCAACTACATCTTATATGACAAACTCTCTATCCACCACTACCACTCCGGTGTAAACCCTAGGGGAGGACCATGGCGTATATAATAACCACAAATAACCTCTTTTACTAACATAAGCCCCACCAGTTACTACAATCGGGCTCTCTTAGAAATGCAGAAGGAACTGAAGAAATAAATAAATAAATAAAAGTTCCAGTCAAAATTAACAATAGATAATAAGCAAGCCATAATTAATTAAATTTTCATTTCATTTAATTTTGTTTTCCAACAGTCCAAACAAAGCTTTAGGCGCCCATATCAACTATGCCTCGATAAACAGTTAAGATATATATATATATTGAACTAATATAACACAATGTTAACACAAATAAAAAAGTTTTCCTAAACCTTATTTCATATCTTTATAATTGAACAGCACTTTCTAAACTGTAAAAAAATTGATTACTTTATTCCACTTAACAAACTAAGCCCCACACTTCCATATCTCCATGCACTTTCAGAACTTAATTCCTGAACTTTATCCCGAAAATTTTCACCATTTCAACTTAGCCGGAAAATACTGCAGCAAAGAATACACAAACTAAGGAGTTATATTTACAATAAATTTCAGATAAATTAAGTTTCAGAGATTATAATGTCATAGTATTCACCTTTTCAATCAGAGACTCGTAGTATGGTTTCACCTTCTCCACATCAATTCTAACCTTGCTTTTACTATAGAGATCATATTTGCTGCACATAAATAATAAAAATAATAATAACAGCATTGTTCCTAAACTAATAAATGTAATTTAATTAACTTTATTATCTTACTTGAATATATGCAGCCATTTTATGTTCTCTCTGTCTTCCTCATTCATCAAGTATGAGTAAGCTCCAAATCTATGGAGTGCTAAAAAATGACAGAAAATGCAAAATTGTTAAGTTCCAAATAACAATATGAATCGGATTCTCTCTAAAACAAGAAATTTACGATAGAAAGAATGGTATCTAATGATGAAAAGAGCAGCAGAGGGCAAAGTTGCCTTGTTCTCCTTAGCCACCTGTCATTAATCCTTAATTAGTGAGAATTTGATGGAAGCACGCTGATATAATATAAATATTTTACTTACTAATTCTTGTTTAAGGACTATAATCACATGATGGCATGGTTGCAGCATTCAAGAGAGATGCAAATATAAAATATAAAATTATAGATATTTAAAAGATTTAATTCCAATATATTCATATGTTTTTGTATTTACATGTATAATATATATAATATTTTCCTGGCATACAGTTATTTACCAGATACATGTAATCATCATGACCCCATGACATTAGCACATTGTCAAGGCCACACCCTTCAGAGTAAACTCCATATAGGCTATTGTACATGGGAATGTGATAGTCTGCGTTCCCTTCAAAAAACTGAAATAATTGCAATAAATTCTTTGTTTTTTAGAATTAAGAAGATCTTTTAATAATTTATTCAAAACAAAAATTTATATTTAGGACCTTGTAGTGCACATTAGATTCATCAAAAGCACAGCCCACAGGGAAAGTGTCACCTGCAAAATGCATTGATTCATTTAGGACATGTTTTGAACTATTTTGTAGTTCTTATTTTGCTTTTTCTATTTTTAAAAAATAATTTTATAGTTAAAATAACATGTTCGGTTTTAAATTTTTTTGTTTTTTTTATTTTTAATAATTAAAATAAGGAACAATATTCTTTATGATTTGTTCACTTATTGTAGAAATTTGCTTAGTTGTAAGTTTGGTTTGAAAGATGTTGAGAGACTTGGCTCTGCTTGCCATTTTACTACATAGTTTTGTGCTAACAATTTGATTCAAATGTTTATCAATAACTAATAGAAATATGTATTAAATCTGAATAAATGTAATTTTTGTCAATAACTTTGACCTCTAATTGAAATATGTATTACATATTATCTTCATGTAAGAAATCAAATATATCTTTCATTCAATATCTAATCATGGACAACAACGAAAAAAGTGTGTGAAAATTAATTTCAACCCAATTTATTTACCATTTTCATTTTCATTTCTTTTACTTTCTCGTTTTCAATTCCTTTAAACAAAAGAGAACTATAATTTATTTTTTCAAAACTAATCAATTGTTAATTTAATTTATCAAAAAAATACTCAACAAATGAAGAGTTTTCATTGTCAATTCTTTAACCAGACATATTGGAGAAAAAAGATTCATGCAGCCAACTCCACTTAGTGGGATAAATCTCGTTGTTGTTGTCGTCGTCGTGAAATGCCAATTCCTTAACCAATCTTATCTGATAACTAAATTTTATTAATTTGTTTTGTTATTTCTATTTCTAATTTCAATATTCACTCTCATTCAATTCCTTTAAACCAAATAGAACCCAAGTGGATTCCTAGAACTGAAAATATATTGTCAGCTAAGATTATTACAAAAGAAAATAAAATAAGTAAAAAAAATAAAAAATAAATAAATAATTTAAGCATACCATTAGCTATCGAAAATGAGCTTTGAAAGCACTAGAAATCAAACATTCAGTAAGTAAAGATAACACTCACCAACTACTGCCCACTGAGGAAGCTCTCCAAAACTAGGATGAAGAAGAACCTTTCCAAGATCTAAATTCAACAAAAAGAAAAAAAAAAACATTATATTAAAATAACAAAAATTCTCCACATAAAATAAATAAACAAATCATCAAAAAAAATTTTAGCTGTGTACCATGAATAAGGCCCGTTAAGTGAAGCCAATCCTCATTTGGATAATCCTTCCTAATAGCCTCAGCAGTCTGCAACAAATGCTCAATCTGCGGCTCATCAAGATCAGGATCACTGTCGTCAACAAACTCATTAAGCAATTCAATGCATTCCCAAATGCTCATCTCCACCCTGTCAAGCTTCCCATACTCCTCCCTCATCCTCTTCACCTACATATACATCCAAAAAAAAAAAAAGAATTTTTTTAAACTTCCATTCATGAAATGAAATTTGTAAGATCCAACCAGCAATCTCTTACAAAAGCATAGGACTGATTAGTGTGATTCAAGCGATAGAATTCTTCAACTGTCTTCTTTCTCTCAGATTCAGCTTTGTAATCCCTGAGCAATTTCTCCCAATCAGCTTGAAATTAATCGATTAAAAAGATGAAAATTAACAAGCAATTTAAAAAAACCTGAAAGTCTGGCCAAAAGCGTTGGTTTCAGGAATTGAGAAACCTCCATCTAAAAGCAGTTCCTTTGTTTCAGTGATGAGGTTCTTCTCTGCAAAATCAACTGCGAAGACAAAGAAAGCTCTCTCCTTTTTAACAGCAAATTACAGAACAAATAACTCTAGTTTTTGTTCTGGTTATAGAACTCACCAATACGAGGGGACTCTATTGTGATGGTCATCTTGTCTGCAATTTCGAAGCTGGAAACAATGGAACTGGAATGGGAAAATATGAAGAGGAAGCAAAGAGAAAGTTTTGCTCTGCTTTCTCAGCTTCAGTTTGGGGAAGAAAGGGGACTTTAATATAGAGGAAATGGAGTGTTGGCGATAGAAATCCAACTAAGAGAGGGTACTTTTCCCCAAAATCGGTTTTTTTTTGTTTTATATAACAAGAATAAATAGAAGAATCAGTCGAATAATCTCATGGATAATACAAAAATATATATATTTATTTTTCAGAACTGAATTGTAATGACTCGGCAATGGCGTGGAGTCTCAACTACAATCCCGGGGTTTTTGAATTTCACAAGGATGAGAAAGTGTGTAGCGATTCCTGTAGCCAATGGTTTGAGTAAGATGCGAATATGAGCGGCGGGTAAGCGAAGCGCGTGGCTACATGAGCGGCTATATTAAAGAAACGTAAATTTGTGGGAAAAACCAGCTGGTTGATAGTGGGGTCGGCTGACGTGGCGTTGTGCTAATTGCCGCTTTGGAACTGCGATGGGAGTTAATGGTTTAAAGTAATGGAATGCTTCCATTGTTAGGCCATGAAAGCATCGCTTGCATTCATATCAACTTAAGTCAATATAAATAATTGAATGATAATCCCGCATAGGGCTGTCAAAACGATTCGTTGTTCGAGAATAACTCGTAATCAATTGGTTTAGTAGCTCGTGTTTGATTCATTTGCTAAACAGATGAACCCAACATGAATAAAGTTTTGTTTGTTAGTACTCCACTCATTTTGGCGTGAAATAATATATATATATAGATTACTTGAATACATCGCTACAAAGATTTATAATCAATTAAAATTACTAATTAAAAATAGAATAAAAATATATTAATTTTTATTTAAATGAATATCAAATATAAATGTCAAGATTTAAATCTCGGCCTACCATTAACATCCTATGGTTGTGTGATTTGGGTTGTCAAAATAGGTTATTGTTCGTGAATAACTTGTGTTCGGCTCGATTAGCAAGCGAGCTTAATATAAACAATTTTTTTGAGCTCGATATATAAACGAGTCGAACATGAATAATGATATTTTTTAACAAGCCGAGTCTGGGCTTGCTCAAGCTTTGCTCGTTTACACCCCTAACGGCAACATGCATGACTAAGGTTGTCAAAATGGTTTTTTGTTCGTGAACAGCTCGTGTTTCGCTAAGCAACCAAGCCGAGCAAGAATAAATTTTTCGTGTTCAAAATATAAACGAGACGAACAAAAACAGTGATATTTTTTAATGAGTCGAACAAGAGCCGAGTCTACACTCGCTCGTGTTCGGCTCGTTTACACCCTTAATCCCGCATCTAATGATATGAAATTGACAAGCCCTTAATTGCCTGAAAATCAACCAATAGTTAATCATAATTGGTTCATCAGTACTAAGCTGCTAAACTTGATTAAAAGATTTAAGAACTTATTGTTTAGAGTATTCACCAATATCTCAAAAGAATAACTCGAGATATTTCTAATTGATAATAAGGCTTTTTTTCTTAATTCATGCACACGCTCAAATGAGTTAAGACTTGAACAAAATGCATTATGGTCACAAAACACCCGGCCACAAGATCAAATGGGCTGCTCAACTAATTGTTAATAAGTTCTCTCTTAAGGAACTCACCCAAAGTACTCACAAAATACATTATGGTCATGAATGTATCTCCATTTCTCAATTAACTCTTGACAATAATTGTTTTGTTCTTTTTGGCTCCTCTGGTTACTGATACACCTAAAATATATAGTGTTTTTATACACATTTTTATACTTGTTTTTGATATATTGTGCTTTAATAGAAAGTGTTTTTGTGTTTTTCTTGCAGATACAAGTAAAAATGAAAAAAAAATGCTTAAAGAAGTAAAAAAAGGATCAAATTTGTAGCAAAAAGGTGAAAAATTATGCAAAAGTGTTTTGGCGCCTAAGCGCCAGATCCGGCGCTTAAGCGCCGGTTAAACAGAGAAGACCGCGCCTAAGCGCCGAGACCCCGCGCTTAAGCGCCAGTGGCAGTTACTAGACGAGTAAAATCAGTTTTCACAAATTTCAAAGATGTTTTTGAGGCACCCATTGGCTTAATAGGTGGTTGTAACCACCATTGACGAAAATTATCATGAAAAGATGCATCTCTTGGGCAAATACATTGAATCAAGACACATTTTGAAGAGATCCCAAGGCACATCTTGCAAAACTATTAAAGAAAGAAGAGAGGACTTAGAAAAGAGTCCTGAAAATATTTGCAAGTTTTGAAAGTTCTTCTCTGGGGTGTTAGTTTGGAGAGATTTTCAGGAACCACTTTTTATTTACTTTATCATTTTTGTTATTTTGTTTTATGTGATTGTAAAAGAGAAGAGATTCAAATGAACTTCAAGAGTTTGGTGGAGGACATGAGATAAGTTTTTATCTTTTTGTTTTAGACTACTTTTGGTTTTAATCGAGACTTATTGTTAGTTTGACAATGATTTCTCCTTTTAAACTAAAGTGTGGTTTTGTTTTCTCCATGGATTCTGAGTAGTTTTCTTTATCTTTCCTCTTAAAATGATAAGTAATTAAGTTTTGGATGGAGTTATGGAGATTATTGATCTTTAATGAAGGAAGAAGTTGTGATGATTTGAATCCATGCACTTCATTTACTTCTTGATTTGACCAATCTAGATGTTAAATTTTTTTTGTGAGAACATGTAAGAACCGGGCTGGTATTCTCTCAGCCAACAATTGGAAAGAATCACATGACGTTGTATGAATGAGAATGTAGTCCATGTGATTGAGTGCAAATAAATAGGGAAATATTCATTGATGGGTGTAGAGTTAGAGGACTTTAAAGTGACAGGTTAAAGCCCCTAACTTGGTTTATTGTTTTAGGTTCTGATACGAGAATGTTAGCCCCCTGTCGGCACTATTTTTGGTGTGGGGTTTGCCCGTAAGAAGCTGTCGGTCATTGGAATTGAAATCCCATTGCCCGCTTCGGAAAGACATTTTTTTTTTTTTTTTTTTTTTAAATTTTGTTTTGACAAAAAGAAATGCAAT